GTAGTCATCTTCAAAGTCCATGCTTCTTCCACCTTTTTGAAACAAACTCGGCTCTCTGCTCCATGTGACTCCATCATCTCTTGGATCTGGTTCGTGTTCATGCTGGTCCACAGAGCTCAAGGGCCACCCAAGCCACACAAGCACCTCCAAGACTTATAGAACATTCTCTATCATTTTGTGGGCTGGTGTGAGTCATGTGGACACCATCACCAACACACCACAATGGAAGGGGGGGAAAGAGACCACTGCAAAATGATTCTCCAGCTTTGACGTACATCAGAGTCCCCTGAAAGAGCTCCCTAAAACAGATCATGGGGTCCCATTCCCAGAGTGTCTGATTCCACAGGTTTTGGAGTGAGGGCTGATCATTTGTATTTCTACCAGACACAAATGTTGGTCTGCCACAGTTTGGCTGGGCACAAATCACGAGCCACTCAAGCAGGAACAAACTTTATTTCCGAACTCCCACGAACGCCAGGCAGGCACGAGGCCTTCTCCAGGGACACACCACACACCAACCGGAAATCCCTCCTCCGGAAATCCCTCCTCTGGCACTTCCCCAACCAAGGAACTCCCCAGGAATCCACGGGAGAATTCCAAAGTAGCCCAAGAACTCCAAAGTAGCAGGCTGAGGCAGACAGCAGGGGTCTAATATACAACTGAATACACAGCTTAACATAACCATCATCATCTCAATGGCTTGCTGGCTCACCTCTCAACCACTTTGGCAAAAATGCCACGCATCATCCCGACTTGACTCGGGTGTGGCCCTCAACATTGGTCCAGGGACAATACATTGAGACCATCAATCCAGATGCTCAGGCATCTGGAGAGGCCACACAACATCTAAGAGGAAGCCAGGGACAGAAAGAAGACTCTAGGGTATCCAAAAAGGGAAAAACAAAAATGATTAAAGTCTTATGAATAATTTCTATGAGAAAATGCAAAAGGCTCTTGGTTTAATTAGCCCAAAGAAGGGCAGAGAACTTAATGTCTTCAAGTAAGTATGTACTGGGATGGGAGCAGCTGTTTTTCCAGAGGACAGAAATGGAATCAGAATGGAGTAATAGAGGATCAAGTTAGCCTTGAGCAAGAAGTGCCTTTTCCTTTGGCTGCTGACGTGGAAGGTCCACTAAGGAGGTTTGGATCTGATGTTTTTACTCAGCACAAAGTTACCATCACTTGACTTTGTCCTACCCTGGAATAAAATTAGAATTGTTACTCAGGGTCACTTTGGGCCTTATAATTCAATAAAGCCACATATCAGACTAGGAAAAAAAAAAACACAACAAAGGGAGAGGTAGAGGGTAAGACTGTGAGGACTGAATGCTTCACTGAAAATGAAAATTCAGAGATGTCACCAATACATTTGTTTGTAAAAGCAGATGTTTCCGAATTGCGCTTTCACCCTAGAGCATGAGGAACCTCACCCCCTCAGGGACATGACTTTCTTGGGAGAGACTAGAAAAATCCTGAGGATGGAGGTCAGCAGACCCGACTCTCACTGCGGGTTCTGCCCAGTCTTTGTGCATTGGTGCATCATCTTACTCTTTTGGAGTTTCGGGATTCTTGCCTATAAATTGGAGTAGCAATATCAACAACAGTAGGATCCAAGAGATCCAAAAGAGGAAGACTTTTGCAAACCATGAAGTGCTCTCATCTGCTGGCTTTGAGAAGCAGTGAGGGGTGGGGTCTGTGCATCCCAGTGAGCTCCAGGGAGCTCCAGGGAGCATTAGGGGCTTACCTCCCAAGTCAGAAGTTCAAGGCTCAGGCCCAGGGTGGTCTGTGTTTTGGTCTCAGCGATGGGAGTTCAGTTCAGTTCATTGGATTCTCAGTTCTAGACTTCTCATGAAAGACAGTTGGTGCAAAGCCCTTCTCTCATCTAACTTCATGATTTTCCCTTTATTCTCCAACTCATTCTCCCTGCCTTTACCTCAGAGTTAGTCCTCGCTCCACATACCTCTTCGACACAGAGCATTTATTCACTCATGTGTGTGAAAGTATGCAGTCCCTCCATATCTTACCCAACGCCATGTTGCTTTTGGTCTATCCATTTCACATTATGCATCTCTAGTGACTACAAGACCAGTAATCTTTTTTAAATTAGATTCTTGACATAAGGTAATAAACTCATTATTTTGCCAATTAAGGACATAAGATAAACAAATATCTGCCACTTAGTCTTCCTATCATTTCATCAAACAATGGTATTTTACTACCAAAAAAAATGGACAAGGATAGAACCACAAGCTAAAGGGTAGTTGTTTTGCTTTGTTTACATTGATAAAGACAACATGAAATCATCTAGCTTTGTAAGACCACCTAGATTTATAGGAAAATCTATCCTATCTGCTCATTTATGAAACAATGAAGCTTTATCCTGGGCTGGGAATGAGAAAACCTTAGAGGTGGGCATCATTTTTCTATAACATGCCATATAGTATTAGGGCTTCACGGGCATGGGAACTATGTAGCTGCACAAGACCCCGCACTTAGATGGAATCTCTGCTTTTAAAATCTCAATAATTTGTGAACAAGGGGCCCCACATTTTTATTTTCTACTGTGCCCAGTTCTGCATGAGCCGAACAGCATCTGTCCAGCCACTCACCTTTGCCTCTGGGACATACACACACCCTTGAGCAACAGGTAGACAAATAAGAGTAGCTAACCTATTTATAAAGGTCAGTGGCAGGCTGGACTTATCTCTTGGGCCACCATTTGCTGAACCCCAGCTTGGAATGTGGGTGTGGACCAAGCAGTCTGGGTTTAAGTGCTGACCCCAAGGCTGTGGTTGCCTGACCCTGGGCCATTTCCTTAGACTTCTCGAAAGGTTACTGGCCTCCATTGTAAAACTGGAATGATAACATACGGCTACTTCTCAGACTATTGTCAGAATTAAATGAGATGATATCCACAAGACCCCGAACCCTCCAGATACAAACTTGCCAGGTACAGAACTATCCTCATCCATTCTCTTCCTCTCCCCCTGTTTATTTTGTTTTTGTTTCTGAGAGGGGGTTTCGCTGTGTTGAGCAGGCTGGCCTCTGACGCATGGACTCCACCAATCCTCCTGCCCAGGCTCCAAGCCTCTGGGATGACAGACGCACATGGCTGCACCCGGCTCCTTTCTCACTCTTCTTTCTGTCCTGATGCCAGGTTATTTACATAATCCAACCTTTGGTATTTCTGGGATCTTTCCAGAATAGGTAACAGAAGAAAGTGGAAGTCATTATTTCCCCTTTGATTCTCTTTCAAAGTAGACCGATTTAGGCATAAGTCAGTAATGACTTTCAATAAGCCAGAACCGTCCTCTCTCACAGGGTTCTGGAGAATGGGTGCTGACAGCCACCCCGCATCAAACTTCCCCCTGGCTGGTGCATGTCATGACGACTCCTGCAGTCAGTGGAAACACAGCTACTTCTGTCACCCAACATACCCCCAGACTCAAGCATCCAGGAGTTCTTATGCAAATACCTTGTTGAGGAGCTTCTCTTCAGGCCATCATTAAAAATCATGTGACATGCCGGGCACAATGGCACACACTGCAATGCCAGAGGCTCAGGAGGCTGAGGCAGGAGGATTTCGAGTTCAAAGCCAGACTCAACAAAAGTAAGGCGCTAAGCAATTCAGTAAGAACCTTTCTCTAAATAAAATACAAAATAGGGCTGGGGATGTGGCTCAGTGATCCAGTGTCACTGAGTTCACTCTCCTGTACCAAAAGAAGAAAAAATTCATGTGATAAGTTAGTGTTAAGGTCTGTAAACAAGTCTGGATGGCGCCTGGCATTTTGCCAGAGGGAGTGGTTTGTGAAGTAAGGCCAGCGAGCCATTAAGTGTGGAGATTCCTTATTGGTTGACTGATGTATCTAGTTTATGCTAATTAAGATAAGCTGTGTGGAATGTATAAATATCGCTCCGGTCCTACAATAAACGGCTCCCACTCCTGCTGTATCAATCTACACAAGATGTTCGTCCCCCCCCCCCCCCCCCCCCCCCCCGTTAGTTTGCTGCAGCCGGACTGCGGCAAGTTAGTTTTTACTTGGAGTAGGTTTCATGGCTAATATGTAGGCAACTCTTATTTCCTTCACTGATCTAAGGCCCCAGAGCATACATAGGCTTTGGGTCACAAATCACTCTGAGAGTCTAAAAACAATTAAGAATCTTCTCCAAAGGAAAAAAGCTGCACTTTGACCCTCTCTCACACACACATACACATCTTTTTTTAAACTAAAATTTCAGAAGCTTAGAGATCTCCTGGGAGATCAGGCACAAGCGCTGAGCTGAGGATCAAGCTATGAGAACAGGTTAGGAATTCCTACCTTGGGCACTGCAGGGCTCTGCCAGTTTAGGTTATCAGGATCGTAAGTTGCATGCAGGCTGGCTGGGGTACCCGATGAGGAAGGAGAAGTGCATTATTAAAGGTTTGAATTAACGAATGTGAATTCCTAGGCATCTTCCAATCCTCCAGGACCAAGGGATGATGAATGAATGGCTTGTAGAAAAGAAGCACGTCCACCACCCACTAGGATAGCTTTGCAGTCCCTCAGTGGTCAGATCTGTATGGAAGGTTTCACCCGTTACTTTTAGGTAGTGAGTTTTGCTTTGAAAAATGTGATTGATGTGGCTGCGCCCAGGTGCACACATCATTAGTCTGTGACGGGTAAACTCAGATGGTCAGAGCACTGTGATAATGAGCAGAAGGTGAGGGGTTCAGCACCCCGTGGGCCACTTGTGTCCCCAGGTTCCTCCCAACACAGGCCACCTTTCTGGAAAATGAACATCTCTGGTCAGAGGGAGGAGCCACGTAAATGGGTTTGGTGAGATCACTACAAATCCATCAGGACTCTGGTAATTCACCTTTCTATGGGACCCCACTGGTTGATGGGAACTCATCCTCATTTAAAAAGGACAATAATCAGAACACTCAAGACATGCAAGGGTCTCAGTGGAGAGGATTTTGTGAATTACTTCTGAAATGATCACTTTATTTTACATCCCAGGGAAATAGGCGCTAATGAGATTACATCAGACAAGAGTGGTGAGTTGCCCTTCCCTGAAAGGAAATTAAATGTAAGTATTTACTTACCCACAGAGGGGTGAGCATTTGCAGAAAATTCATTTTACAAAAATCACCACAGTTGTTCCTGAGTTGTATGATTTAAAAAAAAAATCTTTCATAAAATGTTATCAAAATAAGGCTTGGATTGAGCAAAACTATTCAGTCTCATGTTTCTTTAACAGAGCAAACTCTGTGTTGACATCCAAAACTATTGCTATTCACTTATCCCTATTTCGGGCAGGTGTAAAAGCACTATGATTAAATAGCAGCCAGAAGCCAGAAAATAATCCTCGGGATCCTCGGGTGCTCCCTGACCCACAGGCTCTTCTCTGGACCTCTACATGAAGCTAAGTGGTTTTGTCTTAACTCTTTCACAGCTCTGAAATCTGCTTCTCCCCCATCCTCATGACCATCATATCAGCTGAAACTCTAGTTTTGTCCTTATTGAGCACGAGGGCACATAGCTAACTAATCTTTTGTTCTTCCCCAACACTAAGGATAATTTCTGCAGATGAGCTCTAGCATCTTCTGCCTGGAATCAAAACCCAAGACAACATTTATTAGTTCTGTGGCTTGTAGCCTAAGTCTTTTTTTGTAATTTTTTTTTATTAGTTGCTCAAAACATTACAATGATCTTGACATATCATACATTTGATTCAAATGGGGTATGAATTCTTATTTTTCCATGTGTACAGATTGCAGTATCACATTGGTTATACAGCCACGTTTATACATACTAAGTCTTGATTTGCTTCTTTGTGGTTTTTTTTCACCTTTAAATTGGGGTAAAATTAATAACTGGTTTATGGAATTTTTGCGATAATGTAAAAATGTGTTAATTTAGAAAATGTCCTGAAGTATAGTATGCACTGGATAAGTGTTTATTGCTATTCATATTTATAGCATGGAGTTTGGAAGTAAACTGCTTAAGCTTAAATCCTGCTGAAATACTTCCTAATCGAGTTACTTTGAGCAACTTTCCTATTCTTTAAATGGGTCTCCTACTCAGCACCCAGGTTGACCCACAGAGTCGATAAGAGATCCCTATTCTAGGTATGCTTAGTATCAACTTAGGTATTGCAGTAAAGGCCTAAGGACACCATATTTTAAATATTTGATAAATATTATAAATGCCTGTTGTATAACAGTAAAAGCCAACACCTATGTCACTCACCTATTTAAAATCTCATAATGATTCCTCATCAAACATAGCCATTATTCCCAACTTGGTGAAAGATAGGAAAACCTTGGTAAAATGACAAATTTCCAGGAGTTGTAGATATCTAAACCTCTATGTGAGACTTCAGTAACATGAAAAAAATTTTGTCATTATTATATTTTAAAACATTCGCTAGGTTAAACAGCAGACTAGACATAGTTGAGAAAAGAATTAATGAAAGGGAAGACAAATTAGAGAAAATCACTCACATTATATATATAAAGAGATGAAATATAAAAGGAGTTAAACAACAGAAATAACGTTCCTGATTCATCTAGTATAGAGTCTACCAGGTTAAAAAAAAATCAAAAGAATATTTAAAGAAAAAGTAATTGGTAATGTTCCAAAATCGAAGAAAACTATGAGGCCTCATGGTGGAAATGCATTCCAATTCTCAAGCCATTAAAAATAAATTCACAGCCAGACTCATCAGAACGAAGTTAGGGGCCATGAAAACAAAGAGAACATCTTTAAAGTAGAGAGAAAAGAAAAATTATCCACAAAGGAAACGCAACTGTGCTGACTATAGATACTTAATCATATAGAATAGAGATCAGAAGAAAGCAGATTCTCCTGCCAATGTAAATGCATTAAACAATTATTTATATGTGAGAGTAAAAGAAGGATATTTTCTCATGAATATTACAGATTAAAGCATTCACAATCTCTTATGCAAGAAATACTAAAGAACATGTATCTAAGAAGTCAAATTCGAAAGTTAAAAATTATGAGAAACATTGATAATTTTTAAAAATGGGTAAATATTTAGGCAAGTATCAATGAACAAAGAAGTGACTATCAATGAATCTAAACAGACTTATTAAAAATAAAAATACATACCAGGTATGCTGGACACACACATTGGTGCATGCCTGTAATTCCAGCAACTGAGGAGGCTGAGGTAGGAGGATCCTATGTTTGAGGGCAGCCTTGGCAACTTAGCAAGATCCTGTTTCAAAATAAAAAATAAAATTAAAATGGACTGGGAATGTGATTTAGTTATATAGCACGCCTGAGTTTAATCCCCAGTACCAAAACATAATAATAATAAAATAAAAATAAAGATTCAAAGTACTAGTCAACAATAGCATAAAGACAGAAGACAAAAGTAAGAGCTAAAAAGTTTTGTTCCTCTGGACAAGAAAGGAATGCTAATAAATTTAGACTCTATTCCACCAAATAAATGCTTGTTAACACACACAGGTATTGCAGAACCAGGTTTTCTGGGACCTGAAGCTTATGTAATTTATGGAGCTTGTATTATTTCCTCTTTAAGGAAAAAAAAATGCAAAATGTTTAAAATTTTTCAAATCTTACAAAAACTTATGAGCCACGATGTTAGGGCTTGGAAGATGGCCACGCACATAAGGAGCTGAGGAGTTTAATCCTTTCCTGGCTGGATAGTCAGCCCACCTGTAGTGCAATTTGCAGAAGAATCTAAATGAAAATGCTTAAATCATTTACCAACCTAGGGAGGAGACAAGGAACAAAATAAAGAAATGCTATCAAACACATAAAATCAAAGAAAGGAGAGACAGTAAGAAAAGGAGATTGTCAAAAACAGGAAACATGGTATAAAGATCCAAATAAACCAGTATCTGAAGAGAAAATTAAAGAGCTAATTGTTCAACCTATTAGGTTAGAGAGAGTTAGAAAAGAATAAATCTCAAGAATCAGGAGTGGTGGCATGTGCTCATAATCCCAGTGGCTCAGGAGGCTGAGGCAGGAGGATCATGAGTTCAAAGCCAGCCTCAGCAATAGCAAGGCACTAAGCAACTCAGTGAGACCCTGTCTCTAAATAAAGTACAAAATAGGGCTGGGAATGTGGCTCAGTGGTCGAGTGTCCCTGAGTTCAATCCCTGGTATCCTCCCCCTCAAAAAAGCATAAATCTAAATAGAAGGAAAAAATGAGAAGATAAAAGATACTAATGAACTAGAGAACACAGAAATGTTGAAGAAAATTGAAGAAACCTGGGGTTGATTAATCACCATTCCGTATGAGTAATGGTGACTACTGGGTAAATTTTGCAAGCAAGGCTTCACACATACTGGGTTCACAAAACATGAGGAAGAGTTTGTTAAGCTTGAAATCCTTATAATTTATCCTTCTTCCCTCTCCAGGTGCAAATTTCCAAGTGCCCTTTGAGTCAACCAACCATAAAAATCATCTGTACTTGTTTCCATTGGGTGATAATTTCAGACCTCAGACTGGTCCCAAATCCTAAGGTTTGGGCTAACTTTTATCTTTTTGACAGGCCCTGGATAGAAGCAGTCACTTTTTCAAACTGAGCAACAAGAATCTGGGAGTCACAGCTGTGTAGGGGTCATGTATCTTTGCCTGCTTCCTTGGGCTGTATTTCACGTGTACCAAGAATACAGGTTTGACTCTCAAATCATGAATTCTTGATTAGAAAGGACAAGATTCTCAGACTAGCTAATCCATGCTCCTTTTAATTCTCCCTTATTTTATCCTGCTAGCTCTTTATTATATCTATCTTATGTTTAATCAGATATCTCTGTGTATGTGCATCTGTATTATATTTATATCTATGTTACAGGATGTAGTTTGGAATCTAAATGGTCTCTAAAATGATCATAGATATGACTTCAAACCATTCCATATCTAAAGTGCCCCCAAAGGTCACCAGCATGCTCTACCCTGAATTCCACAACAGAAGTACTGCTCAGAAAAGAAAATTTTCTTTTCACTGCCTCGTCATTCCAGACAGAGGAAAGACAGTTCCCAGTGGACCACAAATCGAGAGCAGTACACAGCATGTTAAGAAAATCCTTCAAAATGCAAATCAAAACAACTATTGTTTATGGTGGAAAAAAAAAGAAAAAAGAAAAACATGAAAGAAAGAATAAGGTGAAAGAGATAAGGAAAAAAATCTCTCTTCTTACAGAATGTCAGTTGGATTTGGGAAGATGTCTTTTTATTCCACGGAAAATTCAAAGCAAGAAATTTCCACGTCAGGATTGGTAGAGCCTCTTGAGCTGACGGGGGCAACAAGTCTGACTCACCTCCAAGGCTGCTCCACAGGTGAATGTGGCCTGAAATAAAGGTATAAATTATCAGCCGAGCCATGGGACTCTGCTTCCCAATGCCCTTCATTAACCTTCCACGCGCCTCATGCCTACAATCACCATGTAGAAAAAGGTCCCCGTGTGGCCTGGCAGAAGGTAACACAAATGTTTCACTGACTTTTGAATGAAGAAAGGTAAAAAAAAAAAAAAAAAAAAAATCCTAACTGTGGCATATAAAAAACACAGCAATTTAGGGTTTGGTTGTTTCCTATGGAAAGTATATGATTTTCTCCACCCTTCCATTATTTTTTTTTTGCTTTTAAAAAAAATAATTGTTAAGTTTTTCAACATTGTGGCCTTAGGAGGTAATTTGCTAAATAGGACAAAATTAGCTGATTTTTGGACCATTTAAAAGAACATTTCTTTTGAAAGCATATAAAATGTATTAAAGCAATCTTGGAAGTCTTTACCCCTGCTTGAGATTTTAATTTACTCCAAGCTAATAAATTATCCCCCCTCTCAGAAGCTATTGAAAAATTTCAGTTAAATCCTTTTTAAATTTTAATGTGTTCAATTGAATCCCAAGCAATTTAGACATACACACTCACAGCGTGAGGTGGTCAGCTCACCAAGGCAAGACTGAAAAGGGGTCAGATTAGCCTGAACCCCTCTGTCCCCTGGGATCCCAAGGTGATATTAACGAATGCGATTCCCCCCCACACACACACATACACAGGTCTGATTGTCGGATAATTACTTCTCCACAACAGCATTTAACAAATGCCCCTGTTTGAAGGCTAAGACCATTTTCTCTACAGCTGGAGGAAGCTGCAGAGCCTGCAAGAGGAGGTTGGAAGCCTTGTGGGGTGGAGGTGGGGCGGGCGGGAGCAGGAGGCTCTTGGTGGCTCTAATCAGAGACCCAACAGCAGCGCAGCAGCCGATCTGGGTCACTTTGGTCGCCGGGTTTGAGGAAGCACAAAGGCTCACTTCATCTCAGGCAGGGCTCTGCGTTACCTCTGCACACTTATCAGAAATATTTTTTTCAGGCTATCAATTATTATATTTGAACATTGCCTCCTGGCTCTGGGGAGCCCTTAGCAAGCTGTAGCAAAAAATCAATCCAGTTTTACAACTTTTACCTTGGCCGAGCTCCAGCTCTTTATCTACGTTACCCGTAATTTAAAGATGCCGTATCTCTTTCGGTGGCACAGATATATTCACAAGTATGACACGTCCTTGATAACAACAATATATTTTTTTTCAAGTTTGCAAGGTTTGGTCTGCATAGGGTTAACGTCCACAGAGGTGGCAGGTATTACTAGGGTGGTTTCTCTTGTCGATACTGATCATTACATCAGCGGCTAGCAGTACTAATTGCTTTGTCTTCCCTTCCTCCTCCTTCCCGGGCCTTCTGGTATGTATGGCAGCAGCCCTGAGCACTCATTTTATTTGATCAGGTAGAAGAAACTATTGCATTTAAAAAAAAAATCACAAAATAGGCATTGCGTCTGAGTCCTATTTGGAGAAACTCAAAGACTGAGATGTTCATGTGAACTTATGACCCTCTAAAATCACCTCTTTGATTTGCCCGATGGGGAGGTGGCACTGGGGTCAGAGATAATTACATATGTGTGGACTTAGGATGGGTCATGTGGCGGGTACCATGAGAGAAGATTATTGCAATGGTTCAGAAGAGTCCCCCAAGGCTTGGGCCCCATCCACAATGCTGTTGGGAAGTGGAACCCACTGGAAGGAAGTCAAATCACTGAGGGCAGCCCCTATGAGGGACATTGGGACCCCAGCCCCCAGTCCTATCTTTCTCTCTTTGCTTCCCAGCTGCCACGAGGAGAACAGCTGTATTCTCCTGTGTGCTCCCTACCACGATGTGCTGCCTGTCCACAGGCTCAAAAACAGCAGAGCCAACTGAGCGTGTCGGAAACACTGAAACAAGGAACCAAAACAAACCTTTCATCCTTTTATTTTGATTTCCTCAGGTGTTTTGTCACAGGAATGAAAAGCCAAATAACAGTTATGTATCAAAAACAAGAGTGGCATGATTTTAGAGGACACAGCATTGCTCAGGGGAGCTCTCACCTCCTCTTGTCAGATGGGAAATCTGAGCTGAGGGTGTAGATGGGTTGTTATAGGTGGCAAAAAATGATCATTGAGATCTGGGCTTCAGAAGAGCTGTGAAAAAATAAGAATAAAAAGGGAAAGCAAGCCTTAGAAACGCATTTTGAAGCGTCCTGTGTCTCAGATGCCACCAGCACCTCAGTCTTTTTGGTGAATTCTCCTATATGAATGAAATAGTGATCAGAGTGTTGGCTTCCAGGTTCCTTATTTTGTAGTTGTACTAGTTTCAGATGTGTTATATCCTGTTGTGAATCTCATTTCTAGATGTTCCCCTAGAGCATTTAGCCAGAGGCTGAAAGATTCCTCTTCCTATCTTCGAGCAGGTCTCTACAGACTCTTTTGACAGTTGTGCTGCTGAGAAATCAAAGTAGAACAGATATTAAATAAAAGATGAGTATTCAGATCTTGAAAAAAAATTGTTAAGATCTGGATGATTCTCCCACCCATCCACCTACCCATCCAGCCATCCACCTATCCATCCATCCACCTTTCCATCCATACATGCATTCATCCATCCACACACCCATCTGTCCACATACCCATCCATCATTTATCAATTCCCTCTATCCATCCATCCACCCATCCATCCATCCATCCACCCATCCATCTACCCAGCCCGACATCCATCCATACATCCACCATCCACACATCCATCCATCATCCCTCCACCCATCCACTTACCTCTCCATCCATCCTGCCTTCATTCATTTACTCAGCAGTTCTGTTCCTCAGTTATAATCTATCCTGATAATGCCAGATGAAAACAATTCCATAAACTCACATATAGAATCACTACTTTTTCTTATTTTGTAGAGATATAGAAGTGTTTTTTTTTCTTTTATTTATTTCTTAAAAATATTACTTTGTAATCATTGTAAATACACAAAAAAGTTGAAAAAATAGTACAGAGTACCCCATATATCCTTCACCCAATTTCCCCAAAGGTTACATCTTGCATAATTATGTTACAATATCAAAACCAGAAAATCCTCAGCAGTACAACCCACAGGTGTGTTTCTTCATTCTATTCACAGTCACCATGGGATATTCTCGAAACCACAATCAAGATATAGAATTATCCCATTGCCACCAGTGTGTTTGCTCCTGGCCATCCAACCTGCCCTTCTCCCCAAGTATCCCTAAGTCCCAGTAACCACTACTCTGCTTTCTTGACTCCGTATCTTATCACTGAAAGAATATTATAGAATGGAGTCATATGGTATGTGACATTTGACATTGTTTTCTTTTTTATGCCCTAGAGACCTACGTAACTTTTTGCCTATATCCATAAATCCCTCTTTTTTTTTATTTTCAGTAGTACTCCATGTTATACATTTACTGTAATTTACTTAAAATTGTGCTTATTGAGGAACATTTTAGTAGTTGTTGTTTTCGGGATATTACAAATAAGACAGTCAATGAACATGGAGAGAAGTTCTCATTTCTCTGGAATAAATGCCCATGGATGAAATTGCTGGGTTCATATGATAATTATGTTTTAGTTTTTTAAGAATCTGCCAATTTTCCAAAATGGATGAGTCATTTTACATTCCTACCACCAACCCCAAGAGATCCAGTTTCTCCGCATCCACACCAGTGCTAGATGTTTTCACTGTTTTTGTTTTAGCTGTTCTTTGTGTGTGGTGCTATCTCCTTATAGTCTTGATTTATACTTCTCAGTGATACTGAACATGTTTCATGTACTCACTTGCCATTTTTATGTCTTCTTTGGCAAAATGACTTCATTCTATTTTCTAATTCAGTCATTTGGGTTATCCTTTTAATACTGAATTTTAATGGTATACAGCATGACTTAAGTGGGGTTTATCCCAGGAAGAAAAGGCTAGCTCAATATTAAAAAATGATTCAATGCAATCCACCACAGTAACAGATGACAGAAGGAAAGAAAGGGGAAAAAACACAAACTTATTAATTATTGCAGAAAAAAATCATTTAACAAATCCACTACCATATTAACACTTGAAAAAAATAGTGATAAAGGACTTCCTTGCCTTGAAAAAAAAATCTATGAAAAACAAACCTTCAGGTGACCAAATGCTTCATGGTGAAGATGAAATGCTCTCTCCTGTGAGTAGAGACAAGTGTGACAGATCTCATCACTTCTATTCAGCACAGAACTGGAGGACCTGCCGGTACAGCATGGCCACAATAGGAAATACCATGTGTACAGATCTGAAGGGAAAATTAACTGTTCCGATTTGCAGAAGACATGATAATCTACACATG